AGACACCTCTCAGCTTCCCGTGCAGAAAATGCCTTGCTGTTACTACCTCAAACCCTGCCAGTCCCCGCTGCCTCTCCATGCCTCCCACGGGGTGCACAGGGGCAAGGGCACGCAGCCTGCACCAGCTCTCCAAGACTCAAAGCTATTTACACCCTGCAGAATATTTATTCTCCTTGTTTTCCCTTGGCCCTTAATGACCATTGTTATCAGCAGCAATAATAAGCACAGAGGACAGAGAAGGGAAACGGCCAGCTCTCACAAACGGTTCCCTAACGCGCGGCAGCATCCAGCCATGCCATGGACACCCGTGCACCCCGCCTCTCTCCCCTCCGGAGGCAGCAGGCTCCTTGCCGCAGCCCCCACAGTGCAGTGCCCTGGTGGGGTGCTCACCTGGGTGGCTGCGGAGGTGCCAGAGGAGCCCCAATGCCACTGGAGGCAGCGGGGCACAGCTGCTTGCTGAGCCCAGCCTCCGGTAACAGGGCACCTGGGGTTTGCAGAGATGCCCACGCACAGCCCAGCTCCGATCCACTCCAAACCACACTGCTTTTTACAATTTTGACATTTATTTTACCAAAAAAGAGAGAGAGACGACAGGCAGTTATACCAACTTACAATTTATTATTTTTTTTTAAAAATGACATGAAACACAAGTAAAAATAAATACATCATATAAACAACAAATTGTTCAAAGTCTCTGTTCTGGGAGATCAGGCGAGCACATCCCGTTCGACAGAGAGAAGAGGGAAGCACATGATCATGCGTGGGGCCAACTGACTGACCCACCCTGCTAGCGATAATCCAACCACAAAAAGACAGGCCACAAACTAAGGCGGTAGTAAAAAAGAAAAGGGAAATAAAAAAAAAAAAAACAACCAACCCAAACAACCCAGAACAACAGAAAACCCAAAATGAGACTCAGCGATGGATTCCTTCAGGCTCCCGTGGATCTGCCAGAGACTCCAGCTCCACGCCAGGTGCCACCAAGGTGGGAGCCACAAAGCAGCAGCGCGGCCACGGGCGGTGGTGGTGGTCCGGGAGGCGGCAGAGGTTGCTCTCCCTCACTTGCACCGTCGGCCCTTTGAAGGGAGCGCTTGCTCTACTTGAGTTGCAAGGAGCCATCATGCCCACTGTAATCTAGCTGGACTACGTTCCCCTTTTAACCTCTGCCCCCCGCCCCAGCCCTCCCCCCGGGTCCTTCCAAGACTGGATTAACAAAATTCATCCCAGAGTGGTGAGAAACACCAGTTGTGAAGGTATTTGCTGTACTTGTCCCTTTTGGCCTGGAAGCCATCCACAAACCAACAGCAATTCTCTTGCATTCCACCATTTGCTGACATTATTAAGCCAAAATATACATAATTTCTCATGAAGCCCCGTGGCAATCCCATCCTTTGCTTGCCAGAATATTTGCTTTCTGTGAGTACCTGTGTCCACCCCACCAACCTCCCAGGCGTTCCAGGGGGCAAACGTGCAGTGGTCCAGGCTGGGCTGTGTTGCCCCACCCCGCAGCCCCCCACGATGCCCCGAGAGCCACACTGGTGGGTGGGCGAGGCCACCAAAACCAGGGCACGCAGCAACCACAGCCCTCCCCACGCCTGTGGCATCATGTCCCACAGCGGTGCCCAGCCTTCTCCTGACTGTCCCCAGGAGTGGAAATCTCCCACCTAAGGGAAGGGCCGAGGGCTGGGTGCCGATGTGGAGGGCAGCTGGCCCACCTGAGGCCACTGTGCCTCTGCCCTGGCCTCTGGGCTGTGCTCAGAAATCCACCTTAGCGTCCAAAAACCTCAGTGGAGAGTCCTGCACTGCTGTCCTCCGTGTCACCCGTAGCCCTGCCGCCAACTGGCAGCTGCTTCCCTCCGGTCATTTGGAGACAGAAATTCAGCAGCAAAAGAAAAATTTAACCCGTGCTGGGAAAGCCCCTGTTCCAGGCTCAGGAAAACCGAGACAGGACCCCCTGCAGCAGAACCACGTGCTGAAGAGGAGAAAAGTCTGGGGAGGGCAGGCGAGGGGGAAAGGGAGTCCCGCTCAGAAAGCCCATGGATAACCTGCACGCCCTCACGGCTTCTGTGCGGCAGAGGAAATGCTTCCCACAGCGCCGCAGGACAGCGGGTGCCTCTGGCTGCCTCAGAGCACGCCCATGCACCGCCAGTCCCCAGGAGCGACCC